GGCCTTCCAGCACTGTGTCAGCTCTCAGCTTTGCTTCCAGAGCTCTGCAGAAACTTGTTAAAGCGCTGTCTGAGTGAAAAGAATTCCTCAGTGCAAGGGATACCTGAAGCTTGCTGCCATCCCATCTGTGACTTTAAAACAAATAGACCAACATTCTTTTCATCCCCATTTGCCTTTTCCTATCATTCTCACATTCTTCAGCAGGTTTCCCCCCATCCATTTACCATGCACCATCCTTTAATCCATAGAGGACATTGAGAAGATTCACATCAATAATGGGAGCTGCAGTCCTGGGAATAGAGAAGTGAGTTCATGTAATGCTGATTTACACTCTTCATTATTCTCTAAAACTTGCATAAACTTGCATTAATGATGAGCTTTCTTTTTCTCATCAGTTCACAGGAGAAGGAGGCAATAGCAGCGAGGTGAGGAGTCCCAGTTCATCCACTGGGCTGGTTTCTGTGGTTCTGACTTGAGGCAGAAAACATTTAACTACAACAGAACAACTCCATTTCTTCTTGGCACTCACCTGGCAAAAGGGGGCTGACAGCACAGAACTCTGATCCAGGGGGGAACAAGAAGGGACTAAGACTATCCCTCATTCAGATTGTCCTTTTAAAACTGTTTCTCCTTTCACTTGACATCAATCAGGAAAAGCCAACCAGACATTGCCAACATGAGACTCGGGGACTCAGCCCCCGGCCCTACGGGGCAGCAGCTCCAGGAGGAGCTGGGGAGCACCTTCCTGTCAGCAGGACATGCCCACACGGCTGGAATGCCAGAGCTGATCCCAGCTGAGGTGTCTACCAGAGAAAAGACGGAATGCAAGAAGCATTTCTTGCAGCAAATGTAAGTAAAACGTTATGGGCTGTATTCCTACATGGCTGTGGGAGGTCATCAAAATCTACTCTGATAGGGCCTGTTTGCCCATTTCTGTGAAATGCATCGCTCCCAACTCCCACTGACAGTCTTTATTATGCCAAACTTCACAAACCCCTCAGTGGGACAGAGCAGAGCTCACACATCCCAACTCTGGGGCTGTGGAGAGGATCAGTGACATTCTCTCAGTTACCAACAGTTGCTTTGTTAATAAAACTTGCATATACAAATGTCCACAAAATGTCTTAACAAGATCAGCTGTGACAGCTAAAGATAACAGCTGCCATCCTGCTCTGTCATATCAAATTACTGCACAGAGATCTTCCACGTTGTCAACTCCAGAACGTTGACTACAAACAAACACAGTTATCTACGGAGCAACTCCAAGTGCAAGAGATTTTGCACCCCTTGTGCAGAAGAGCAGTGACTTTGAGGGCCAGATAGGAAAACAATTTCAAACAGCTGGAAATGATAATTGCAGCGTAACAGCAGAGCCAAACACTGCTCCTGGAGTCAGCCAGCAGCCACAGCACAGACCTACCTTAAGATACAGAAGCAGCTCTTGGCCCCAGAAGACAAGCGACAGAATCCAAACCTCTGCTTGCTGTCAATGTCTGTGAGCACAAACGTAAAGTTCTGCCCCACTTGGTTAACTGCATGGCTGGAACAGAGAGCAACAGGGGAAAATTAATGCTGAGCTAACTCTGTGTCAAGTAGCAAGTCATTGAACCTGCAACATTTCCTCTTTTGGCAGAGTTTTTTTGAGACATTAACTTTGAGAGTATGCACCCTCTAGAACCTTAAACATGCTCCTTGTTTGATGAGGGACGAGTGGGGGGTTGTGGTTTGGGGATTTTTTTCCATTTTTTAAATGTGGGAGGATACTAAAAATGCTAAATTTATCTTTAAATGACTCTGACTATCAACCACCTTCCACGAAGTGCACACAGTACAAACCAACCCCGCATTCTCTCACGTGACCCAAAATATTTCTGACATGAAATTAACATTTATTTCAGGTTATGTTCTAGGGTTTTTCAGGTTTACTGAGAACTGAGAAATCTGACTTGCACCGACATGTGCAGCTTTACAAGTCACTTCTACCAACTGCAACAAATATCCCATTAAACTCAAAGCCATTTAACCAACAGTCACAGGCCTCAGAATATTCTCTTCTGTGATGTCATATACAACGCCATAAACAATTTCTGTGGGATGTTATACACTCACTGCCCAGAGGAAACAAAGGAGAAACAGACTTTCTGAAATAAAAGTTGGATCCAGACGGGAAAGATGTCATTGTCCAGCTTGGAAAAATCCTTCAGTGGATTCCAAACAGGCAAGGAAAAACATGCAGTGATGAAGATGGACAGAAAGACAGATGTTTAAAGCATCTCAGTAGTCTGAGAATTAGCCAGTGGAAGCACAATCATCCTCCTGAAATCTAAATGTCAGCAGAGCAAGCACTTCCATAAACCACACTGAGCTGCTGGGGATACCCAAAAATCCCTCAGTGGTGGTGTGTTTTATCTGTAAAGCTTGGATGTAATGTTACTATGGTGATTTTAGTGTGGTGTTTTAAAAGGGGATTATATGCTTAATTTTAACAAGGTTGAGAGCAGAGCGTGTGTGAGAAATAGCACTGGAGCTGACAGTTACAATTATGGAATGGGGCATAAACATGCTTCATTAGCAGTGGGGAGAAGCTTGTTTATTAAACAACTGCGACAAGGGGGTGAGTTCCCCCAGAGCAAACCTGAAGGGTCTTGCACGTGTGTGATCTGCAGACACCAAATCTGCCCCACAGGTCCTGCTCAGGTTTCGGTGCCAGGGAAGGATAAACTTCCAACAGGCACAGGTTCCTCCTCAGATCCCAATTATCAACCCTCAGGATTCCCAGCTCTGCTCCCAAACTCAGAGCCTGCCAGGCTGGGAGCACCACAAAGCTCCTCTCTGGCTGGGCAGACAGCAGGGAGGGCTGCAGGGAGGGCACGGAGGAACAGGGGTGTCTTTAAAGGAGTTGGCTTCCAGTCTCTCAGTGGCAGTCTGTGATACTCAGACAAACAAGTGGATCCAGAAACGGGAATCACTTTTCATTATGTTCTCATTTGCACCCCATATGGGTTTTCAGTGTTCTTATCTTTCAAAATGTTACATTGCTGAGGAAAACCAAAAACAACAGAACAAACAAAAGCCCTAGGTACAATAAATCTACACACAGGAAGCATAAATATTTCTAGTAGAAGCATATACATGAGAAAAATATATGTGAGTATTTCCCTGCTCCCTCCCCTTAGGAGAGGAAAGAGATGAGCAGCAAAAGAGTGATTCCAGACTCTGAAATGAGACAAACATTTGCAGCAGTTTCATCACAGTTCAGGTCACTTTGCTCAACCCAACCCATTCAGTGTGTCAGCTGACAAAGAAAAGGCATTCTGCCCAATTAAGTGATGCTCAGAACGATGGGAGCACTGGGGCATCCTTGCAAAATTTCAGTTCTTGTTCTTTTCCTGAAAACACCAAAAAAACCTCATAATAAAGGGAAAACTACAGAAGTTCTAGAGCTTTCTAAATTACATCAATTAAATACTCTCAGGTCTTCTGACATTCACTGCACAGTTTCACCCCCAAAGCACCAGCACTCCAGCAAGAGCACGAGGCCTTTAAATGCAAAGCATTTAATTCACTGCTCCCCCCGAGTTTTGGCAATGAAGAAATGAAACACATAAGCACACAAAGCTTTGATACCGATATCCATATCTGACAATTGCTACCCAAGCATTCTCAGCAGAAGGAAACCCAAACACTCTCGTAGTGCTGCCACTGAACAACTCCAACTTTTAAAACTTCTCTTTTTTTTTGATGGTGCCCATAAAATCCCCAGGAAAAAGTGATTCTAGGACTGTAATTTGCACTCGGGTGGTTTAAGTCCCAGTCCCACAGACAGAGCATTATGAATGGTATTTGTTTTATTTTCTACAGGAGTTTTATTGACAAGCTTATTTTCTTGTAAACTTTGAAAAGCTAACAATACCTGTCCACATAGAAGGGGAAACAAAACTTGGTCAAAGTCTGTAGAACTTCCTGTGGAGAGAAAAAAAGAGATAATTTATACATCTACTGGGACCAATAAATCTAATATTAACCACATCACACAATTTCACAACTTTGCCCTGAAGAAATAAGAGACAGATGAAGAAATATGGGCTTTATCAATTACATGGAAGGAGTACCAGGCAGTCAATCATGTGAAATAATAAACATGATCAAACTTCATTAAAAATGAAAAATTAATCAAGATTCACACATGGGCAGGCAGCAGGAGCCATCCAGCAATTCTCCAAAGAGGAGGAGGAGGTTGGGTTGTTGAGTGTTAACACCTCTCTGGGGACAATCCCTGCCCTGACCATATGGATCGGAGTGAATAACACCAAACCACATGGGCCTGGCCTGGCAGGACCACTTCTGCTGGCACAGCTTTTGACTGTTACCTAGGAACAGAGGTCTGGGGATTAGGGAACACTTCCTAACATCAGCAACACGAATAACAAAAGAAGAAGCCAATAGGTCTCAGAGCAGGAATGTTTAACGTTGCCTACTGCTATTAAAAAGAAATTCTGAGTGTTGAAACACCGACTAAAATAATGTATATTAAAATTAAGACAGATTTTTAAACCTTCACACCATTTTCTACAAGTTGCAAACCAGCACCACAAACAGGGAAACCTTTAAGCACAGCCTTTGCAGGAGAGCAAAGAAAAGGATGAATATGAAAAGTAAACATGATCAGCAGATAAATTAATAATTTTCAACTTTACAACATTAAACAGAGACAATCACTAAAGAGGCAAACCCAGAAATGTTAGTCCCAAAACAGTTGTGTTCACAGACAAAAGCAATCCATTAGATCATTCTGTAATACCCAAAATTTGAATTGTGCAGCCCACAACCCCCCCCAGTAAAGGTCTCCCAGTTTGCAGATCTTTCCTGCAGCCAATTTATTGCTCATTCTCCTTCACACTTAAATATTTCAGGCCCTGAAGTGTAAATTCTATTTCTGCTTTCAGCTAAACAGGATAGCCCTGAACAAACAACAACCCCCCCTAATAAATTCAACCCTTTTCTGACCAACAGCAATAAATTATCATCAGTGACTAAATAGATGCTTCTCGCTTCATTTATTTCTAACCCAAACGCCATCGTCCCCAAATAAACTCCATCAATCTAATCACCCCTTCAGTGAAGCACAAAACATATTGACTCCCTTGCAGGAACATGTTCCTCCTGCATAATTCACACCAGCACAGCCCAGCCTTAGCCCTGGTTTCAGGCTCAACTCCTCGCTCTCTTCTTTGGAGGTTTCTTGACAACTAAAATGTGGCAAGTTCTGAAGATTTCAGGCAGAAACAGATATGGAAACTTTGACTTCTTGACAGTTTATTGATAGATTATTTAACAACCTCCTGTTTTTAAAGAACAAGAAAGGGTCTATTGAAGAAAGCTGTGCTTTGAATTGCCCAGCAAACTCGGGCAGGAGTTATGTAGATGGAGAGGAAACTCTGCAGAGATCTGCACCTCGATCCAAATAACGCCTCGATAGCCCAGGCCTCGTTAGTGAGATTGGGCTCCCCCGCTGCAGGATCTCACTGACTTCCACCAGCTGAACGACTCCAACTGCTCACCCACAAAACCTGCACCTTCAGGCATTTTACTGCTGCTCAGTTGTCCCTGAGCGCAGCTGAAATCTTACTGAGCCAAGAGCTAAAACACAACCCAAAACCCTCACAAGAATTCTATGACAATCGAAATTGCAATTGCAGGAGAGCAAAAGTGCCTGTATTTTTATTGTCCTCAAAATAATGACTGTGTATCTAATTTTTTAGAAACAAATCATGTAGATCCGTCAAATCCTGAAATAAAACAGCGTTAAAAGGTAACAAGCCATCAGTTATCTCAGAAGGGCAGAATACATTCTCTCCATTATTTCGATGATCCACATAATTCCTGTAAATGCAAGTAAAACCATTCCCACAATAAAACATTCAGCATCTCCTCAGCATTGTGTTATTGGAGAAGTGCAAGAATTAAAACTTACTCTGCACTTGTTTCTTGATATTCAGATTTCACTAAACAGAGCACGTGAAATTTTCCTTTAAAGAGGCAATATACTGAATATATTGGCTCTGTACCACTCTACACTGCCTTCTCTTTTAAAGAAAGGTTTTACATGATATTGTTATCTGGCTTTTGTAATGTCTTTGGACATAATTTGCCATTCATTATACACCAATACTTATCTGCCTGGATTCATAACTGCAAAAACTGAGACTGGCACAGGTTAACCACAGGCTTATTTTTAAATGGTAACTCTTTAAAAAAATACAAAACTCATATGCAGAATTAGTTTTTAATTAGCAAAACTGCTGATGTTTTGGGTGTAAGAGGTATAATTACTGGAGAACTATCCCATTTTTGCTCAAGTTGCAAGCTCGTTACTCTAAATATAATGCTGGGTTTTTTTCCTCTTTAATTCTTTAAATACTCCTCAGTTTGAAAGACAAGCAATACCTACATCATACACAACTTCCCACCTGACCTCTTTAGGTGGGTGGTTACTTACAACCTAGAAAAACCCCCATTTCTTTATGATTTCTTTTCCAAAAAATCACTGCTTGTTTAAAATATTTATGTCAAATTTCATTCTGCATTGATTTTGCAATAAAATCTTTTTACATCTCAGAGCACTACTGAGTATTACTGAACTTTGTAATGGTCAAAATGTTTTAAGAATTGATTTTAATCAGCTGTTTAAAAGAACATTCTATCCCCCCACTCCCCCCCCAAAAAAAAACCTGGGCATAATCTGTTTAATAAAATTACTTTAAATCACCTGAATTTAGTTTTATCTCTACTTTCCTAATTCTACTGGTATTCCAGTACAACTTTAAAGCACTAGATCATCCATTTGCTTTGTGTTCCAGCAATTCATCAGCTCTTCCTGAGCAATTCCAAAGCTTGAATTAGGGGAGGTTTTTTTCTCCCAAAGTCTGGGGGTCAGCAGGGGAACAGGGCCAGTACAAAATAACATCATTTCACTGGAGGCAACTGAGTGTTCTCAGGGAAATGCTGGGGTTCAAGAACAAACACAGAACCCCACCACACCAGTGCTGCAAACAGGAAGAGCGGGAGATAAATAACATTTCCTAAGCATATTGAGGCCTGCTAGCATTTCAATATTTTAAACGCACAAAATATGTGCACAGATGGGCAACTTTTCTCCTCGCATTACTAAAAACATCTTCCAGGATAAAGCTCAAAATCCCTGCATTTTTTAAAGCTAATTGTGAGTGTGTTCGTCAGAATTCCCAGCCCAAGGCCAGAGCTCTCGTGCCCCCCGTCCTCGCAGCGAGCTCTGGCCACGGCAGGCAGGAGGCTCCGAGCTCTGCCTGCTCTCCCAGCACAGAGCAGCAGATAATGGGCCCACGCTGCATCCCCGCTCCCCTGCCTCCTCCTGGGACACAGGCCTAGCAGATGTGAGAAAAACTGTGTCAGAGAAGGAGCTCTAGTCCCTGCCTTAATGACAACTTCAACAAAAGAACACCAACCACTAGTACTTTTCTCTTGTAGGGGAAAAAAAAAAAAACACCCGAAAGTAAAGCTGAACTAAATATTTAAGCAGTGTTTCAAAGAGATCTCCTCAATAAATGTATTTCAAACCCCTTCAGTAAAATTAGAGATTTGGTTTTATTCTAAGAGAAATAGATTTTAGTTAACATGCTAAAAAAAAAAAATCATCTACAGCTACTGTTGTAGGAATAATTGTCTTACGACCCAAAGAATTGAAAAATTATACAAACAGGAATAAAAAAAAATCAGGTCCAATTATGTGCATAAACACTGATCAGCTGGTAAAGGTAAGAAGTGTCAGTCTCAGAGAGCTGGAACACTGATTCAATTAAACATATCTTAAACATTTAGTGACTAAAAATGAGGAGTATTTTCACTTCCACATTTAGCAGAAATTAGGTGAGAACTATTAGCTGTGAAAAGATAATCACATCCTGCACGCCCCCTAAGTCAACTGCACAGGTACACCGCCTCAAAAACAAAGCTTTAAATATATCCTTGGGTTAACATTTGTTAAATATTATAATTCTGGCTTAAGATGACTGGCCCTTTCAGCCCCACGCTCTATTCAGCTCCGAGCACATACCCACTTAATCAGCAATCATTGTTCTCTGAGGCAGGACTTTGTTGTCAAGACAAGCACTGAAACCTTTAAAATATTTCAGAACTGGCATAAGAAAAAAGTGATCTTTGTCAAACAAGGACAAATTTATGCAAATCTTTTATAAACATTCACAAACATTTATTTAGCTTTTGAAATGTTGGCCTCATTTGAGAGCATGAAAATGAGGGGGAAGTAGGAAGATGCAAAGGACAGCTTAGAGGCTGGCACACTACATAAATATTCAGAAGGAAGATTATAGGATTCATGTTAGGCTGTCTTAGGTTTCTCCAAAGTCCACATAGAATACCAAAGAACAAAACTAACGAGAAGTAGAGCAGATGTTAGACAATGCACCAGCCCTCTTTTCCACACTCACTTGGCTATACTTGGATGCTTTCATTTTTTCTTTCAATATGGTCAGGTCATTCAAGGATTCTCCTATAGACTCTGTATTGTGGCCACGGCGCTATAAGCTGGACCTCTGTCAGCCTTCCAAAAGTTCCCAATGAAAAGGCATTATGCAAATTGTACCTCTCCTACTCTCTTTTCAGGAAAAAAGCCTCCAGTCTGCAGCCACCGGAGTATTGGGAGTCCCAGCCTTCATTTCTGTATGGCTGTGTTTGCCTTAGGGCCATGCTGCTTGTTTTGACAGTGGATCCCCCCAGATAGTTGGGATTAGTCGAGCTTGTTTAGATAAACTTGAAATCAAGGCCTTCTCTAGGTAGACAGCTAGATGTAGCTACTGAGTTTCCAGCTGCCTTCTGCTTTCATCCCAAAACAACTGCAGATTCACAGCAGAGATCACAGCCACAGGCTATGTCACATACATAAGTACAAAATTAAAGGCTGCTAA